TTTACATTAATTCAATTTCTAAGCGTGATGAAATTTATATCAATGAACAGCCTATGGTCAAATCTAGCGATTTATTGAAACAAGTTAGAAAAATAAAATATGAGAAAAATCTTGTCTTTTTTCAGAATGGGCATAGTAGTGATGATTACGTAACTAGTATTAAAATGTTCAAATCTATGAAGCTCAGTACATATCCCTACGTTAGGTGCGTCAAATGCAATGACAACCCATATTTACAAATGATCGAATGAAAGTAAAAGTTTCAAAACAGGACAGTGCTACAGGAAAATGCTACTTCTGCCAGATTGTACAAATAAGGTGATAGAAATGTTAATTCAATAATTGTTTAGAAATGAAAAAAATAAAGGTTCCTTTTGATTCTACATAGTTTATAATTATCATATTCAATTTTCATCATTGTCAGTATCACTTTCGTCAGTTGAATTGAGTAAATCCGGCAGAACAGCAGCATCAGTAACGAAATCGATGAATGTTGCAGAGGGTACACGATGGATTTGTGTTTGCCACCGCTCAAAGGACAGAAACCAAATAGCTGATGCGACATGACTACAACATCCAATAAAACGATTACCGGCAATGCAATCACACCATCAATTTAAGATATCTTCTCTGTTGAATCGTATGATTGGTTGATATGTCTTTCGATTTACATGTGCCGATTGAGTTGGAACTTTGTACTTGTCGTGTAGGTTTTTGATGTTTTCGTGAAGGACACAGTGGATTGAGAAAAGGATGAATGTCAATATTTCTTCTTCCGTCTTTCGTTCCGTTTTTTGTTCTTCCTGTGTATCCTCGCCAAGAATTTTCTTTTCCTCTTCCGAAAGGTTCTTTGCCTCTCTTAAAATTCCGTTGACGTCATGCTGCTCGTCAGACGTTGTCTGGAGAAAGCGGGATTGCATGTTGCTGTTCTTGAAAGAGCGACTTCTTCCAAAAGTTGCAGTTTTAAAGGATAATACAATTACTTATCGGACCGATTGCTCGAACTTATTATTATTGACCAATCTCGCGGCGATATTTTTCATAATTAAACTGTTTCGTCGCAAGCAATCTTTGGCACAGCTTTGTGAAAAAAATTCTTATAATTGGTAGCGAACATGATATCATTGGCCGAGTTGCAGCAAAAAGGTTTTTGTATTACTCCTGAATTGTACCGACAGCTGATTGAGATACAACTACTTGCAGTTGAGAGAGCGAAAGAAACTCCGTTTTACCAGTGTATTATTATTGAATTCCATGAGAATGGGCTTATAAAAAAAATAAATAAATACTTAGATTGGAAAGTGGTGCTCACACTAGGTATCGCCGCTTTAATGATGGGTGGTGCTGCAATATTCTTCGTCGGACCCAAAGAGATCGTTAACACAATGAAGTGTATGTTGGAACACAACGCCAAGGGAATAGAATGACTAAAGAAGAAGTAGCAGTTAAGAGCACATCATGTGCGCAATAAGCAAAATTCTTCTACTATCATTTGTCAACTGCTCGATGTTTTCCAATTACTTTACACATACTTTTCATGCATAAAGACACTCATCCATGTTTACAACTATAGGAAGTAGCCTTCTCACGTTGCCTTGTCTAAGGTTTGCATATTGTCTGTTGAATTGCATCACTATATATATTCAGTCTGTTTTTATGCCATGTATTGTACTTATCGAAATCTTTCTTGAAAACACGATTGAGTTCTTATTGGTTTATCTCTCTACTAGAGGGTGGGTCCGCGAACAACGACGCGAGTTAAAATCTGTTACTTATAGCAGACAAAAATCACATATGCTATTAATTGATAACACAATGATATTAATTTTCGTATCCTTTTTTATCAAGGAAATAGGAAACAAAAACTTTCTTCCTCATCATATGAAAAATTTTGACGCGCACTGTACTTAATCCACTAATGGTTGAAAATTATCGCTTCTTTTCACGTTTAAAATTCTGTTTTGGTCTATAGAAATGATGTTGCAACATTCTGTCAATTTATCAAACTTCTTGCACCTTGAATAAAAGTATTGTGCCATTGTTAGTTCTGACGAAGCGCTCAAAATGAAGAGAATATCCTTAAACAACATTCATCTCTAGACTATCGTAAAATGCAACGAGCAGGTCATTTTACTGCGTAATTTATTTAAACAAATTTTTGTAACAATAAAACTTGAGCATAAAATTGCACTACGCGAATACGCAGATGGGTGAAGTAAATGTTTCTATGCAGAAGTTGTAATCTATTGCTGCCAGCTTATTTATTTCCACTTTGTCCACCACTTGTCTGCTTATTATTATTATTATTTCCACCTGCAGCACCCATACTCCCACCAGCTTGAGTCTGATCACCAAATCCCGTATTTCCCGGTATTTGACTTGAACTTTTTGCTCCTATTCGATCTGTCGATGCTGTTGTAACACCTGTTTGTGCATTGGCCAAACCTTCATTTGGATCAGAATGTGTTAATTGACTATCGGCTGTACTCCCACCAGTTCCCACAGGGTCATTTCTTGCTCGTCCACCTTTTCCACCAATTGAACCGCCACTACCACGCGGTTGCTCGCTTCCACTCATTCTAATTGATTTGAATACGATGTTGTATTAATTCTTACTAGATATGTACTGTATGCTCTTTATATATTTTCTCTTTTCTGTTTTATGCGATAAATGTGAGTATATATATATATATTATATTGTACTTCGTGATAGTCATCTTACTTTGTTCTATTCTATAGTAGAAAAAGAATATTCTTTCACTCGTACATATGCATTGTATTTCTAAAGAAAAGACGAGAAAATTGCTTTTCTGTAAGTACATGACCCTCGCGACACGTGTATCCACGTGTCACTGTTTTTGTCTGCACACTGTTCTAAAGAATTCGACAAACGTGTTAAGAAATTTTTATATGATCAAAACGAAATAACATTAGCTCCGTAGTTTTTATGAAGACAAATAACAAAGTTGAATATAGCGATACTTTGCAAACAGGAAATTCTACCGGGAGGGCGTGATAAGAAAGGCTATTGAAAGAATAAAGAGAGGTGAAGTGCAGTTTTAAATACAGTAGCCCATTGAATATTAGAGAAGACAGACTAGAAGGAAGAACGATATTTTTATCACGTCTACTAGACTATTATAAATTGAACAAATGAGGTCATGTTCTACCTAAAGTTAACAATAAGTGCGTATTCTTCTTCTAACATATTCTTATTGTATATGTGGCATATTTGACGAGAAAAGATGTGGTCAGTGGTTATATCCAAAACAGTTTTCTCGTAAATTGCTTTCGAATAGAAGGGCATTAATCACCATATCGTCTCCAAAGCTTGATTCATCGAAATCAATATTTGGCTCTATGGGTTTGGAGTTCGATTTTCACCAAAATCAAAACGTTTTTGCAAGAAAGTCCGTTTCTAATCTTTCCTTTTTCGACGGAATTTCTATCTTTAGGCATAGTGGCAACTAGATTTTAAATTACTTCAATCATCCGATCAGACACTTGATATTCATAATCAGTCATCACTTGCCAACTGAACTTGCCGATTATTTTTTATCTTTGGAAATGTAAAATTCGCATGTTCTACTTGAAATGTCATTGGAATTAGGGCAATTTTGGAATTTTGAAATTAGGGGTAATTTATGATTATAATTTATAATAATTATAATTTGAATAATAATATAATTCACTATTTGATTCTAGTAGTCGATTGATTCAAAAGTTCATTAAGGGGGGGGGGGGGGGGGGGGGGGGGGGGGGGGGGGGGGGGGGGGGGGGGGGGGGGGGGGGGGGGGGGGGGGGGGGGGGGGG